ATTCAGACATTAGAAGATCGGAGAGTATTCATCCTGGAAAGGTTCAGAGACACCTGTCTGAGATCAAATCATCAGATCATACGTGATCTAGCACGTTAGGTTAAGTTATACTCCTAGTTAGGTAGGTTTTCATTGTCTATATTGATTTTTGTATCCATGATGGAATGGCTGTTCATGGCTATTCAATATGGAAATGTAAACAATTGAATTATAAATTTATTTTAAAGCATCTGCATGTCATCCTATTATTTAATTGTTGTCCTCTGAGCGCTGTATGTTTCACATCCAATTTTCAAATAAATATTATTATTTATTTGGATGCCAGTCATATCAAGAGTCACATGTGAAAGGGGCATACACGCTTTTTGGTTACTAACTTATGTAGGCCCTTTTCTCGTCAACCGAGGGTCGTCTACGCAAACCAACAACATCATCGGGAAGGGGAAAGTTTCCCCTACCCGGTGATGTTGATGGTTTGCGTTGGTGTCATCTGAGTGATGAGAAAAGGGTATCAGAAGATTTGTGTACAAAAAGCTTGTATGCCCTTTTCACATGTTGTTCTTGACATGTATGCTCATCAGCTGATGACGAATTCAACCATAAGACAATCACCCGAAATTCGAAACCATATTGTTAAAGGGCTCGAACAATGAAATAATGATTCGGATGTTTCCGTTCAGTGTGTGGCTTTCAAATCCAATATACAGGGTGGCTCATTCGAGAAAAACGGGAAATTCAATTTAACGGGGTTCTACGGTATTATGAAATTTTTTTAGTCATTTTGGAGTATTAACGCACATTTTGATGTTCTGATTACCAGACCATTATTGGATGTTTTAGCTTCTTAAGAAGAGTTTAGGTCATATTTTCGTTTTGAAGCTATTTCTAAATTAAGAGGCTGTATTTATGAGATTATGTATGCGTTTTGTAGACTTCATTGACGTTTAAAGGAAATCTGAGAGTTAGCAATGTAATTTTAGCCCTACAATACCCGAGTAGCACACTTTTATCACAATAAGTTACAGCATCTTGTTTAAGACTAAAATAAGTCGTATATAAGTTGCTACAATTGATTTGTGACAAGTGTGCTACTAGGGTACCTATCTTCAATAGGTCGACAGTTTGAGAACCGTTCCTCAATAGCAAGTAGATGTAGGTAAGTACCAACCCGACGGTGTTCTATAGCTAGTAAGGATGGGTTACTCGACCAAATTTCACTTCGAACGCCATTTGACCGAATTCGATAAGGCCGAAATGGGAATATAGTTCATGGAGTTGATCACTTTTCATCATACGACACCTGATTTGTTTCGGATTGAGAGAAGAATGTGTACGTTAATGCATAGTTTGTCGAAGATGCTCAACGTCTGATGAAAATTAACTAAACTCGAAAGTACTACTGCTGCTGCCCATAATCTAAGAAACAGTTAATTTGCCACCCATGTCAAGACCGCAATAAGTAAGTTAGTCAAATCCACAAAAACTGCTTTACGTGGTAGATATGAAGGCTGCCGTTTGAAAATTCATTCAAATTTGACACAGAAAAACATGAAGTTCATTTTTTTTCAGAACTTAGACTTTGCCACATATCATCGTTTATTATTCATTTCAGTTCTCATATTTAAATCAAGAAGACAATTGATATGCAATACAAACGGCTTAAAATTTCAAAGTTGCAAACATTCCACACTCTTTTTCTCATGGTATGATGCCTTGATATTGATTACCCTTATGTGCGTGAGGATTTTTTCGCTTTTTGACGTAGGATTACGTCTTTCGGCAACATATTGGGGGTGCAATTTAAAATAAAAAAACAAAAATCGACCGTATTACGAAAAGAGGTCAGGTTTTGACCACATATAACTCTGTCAATAACAGATGGATTTTAATTCTAAACAAGCCAATCGATTGGAAATTTATCTACCAATCTGCTAAAATGAGCACTTTATTAATTTTCAATAGGTCACTATTGAAAAATACACAAATGACCAACTGTTGCAATGGTGATTAAAATCATGACCGATTGCCTACAAACAAACAAACAAACGCATTCCCTAACACAGATTTAAAACAGTATTGAAGTGGTAAATACAAATTCTCGCAATAACCGAATACCACATGACCATGTCAAAAAAAAAACAAAAATTCCGTTCGTGAGCACGTAAATGCGTAATTTTGTCATCAGAAAACGAGGCGATTCCGTGATGGGAAAAGTGGTTTCCCTATCACAGTCGCCCAATATTGATACCAAGCACTGAGCATGCCAGACGGTATCAATCTTTATGCCTTTTGGTGCAAATTTTAAGCTATTTTCAATTTTATCTAGATGAACGTGTCATGGGGATGGTGCTAATGGATATTTTTGGTCAGTATTGTAAATTTAGTCGATTGCTGAATTTATGTACGGGCCCAAATTAGGGGCATTTAGGCCGACATTACATACATTTCCGCTACATATTTCATTTCCACACTGCTATCATCAAACATCGAGGAAAAATTTCCACAGTATTGTTCTTAACTAGCTTTCAAGCTTCCAACCCATCGGTCCTTTTCAGGACCACAAATGACTAATAAAAGAGTAAAATAATGAGTAAGAGCTTGAATCCAAGACATATAGTCTAGGATTGGCTTGTACTACATGAACATTGACAAGGGAACCTCACAAACAGAACTCTCAAATTGCTTCCTAATTTCAACCTATTGAAATTTTTCACTGATAACGAGTTAAGAAATCAATTTAATATTTACTATACTTTTGCTATGCCATCATAACTACCTTTCGTAATCCTACGTCAAATCTACGGTCGTGTCTTTAATACAACCTTTTACTTTTTACACTCCATGTCATTCAAATGGGAACTGGGTACCCCGTCCCCCACATAAACACAAGTTATTTTTTATATGTTCTAAAATTTACATTTATTTTATGTGTACGATTTTGCTGCATTATCAAAGATCCTAAAGCCTGACATTTCTTCTGAGCTCAAGGTTGCCAGCAGTGTTCCTTCTCAGGCAGAGGTCCTGAAAATAAGAACTCCGAATGTTGAAAAATATTTCAAAGAATACTATAAGAGTTAAAAATTCAACCTAATGTCCTATTCGGTCTACACCGTAAGACTGGATTGTGTACGAAATGAGATCGATCTCTACTTATGCAAGGCATTTTTGGTGTGATAACTTTATATTTTTAAGAAAGAGAAGAACTCGATAAGATTGATTATTTTGGCAAATTGAAGTAGTCTTGGATCTTATCCAACTGTATTAAGTGTTCGCAGAAAGGTTGTGATCAATCTCAGAATCCGATAAAAAATCTGGGACCTTAGAATGCTTCCAGAAACGTCTCCTGAACTCATCTTCAAATAATGCAGGTTGAACGCTTTGTTCTTCAACATCCAACATGAACTATAGAACAACAGTAAAGCTTGCCCCATCAATGCAATTGAGAAGAAACCAAATATTGCAGCACAGCAACTAGCCTTCCAATCTGAATGTATAAATTTCACCACTTACCAATTCTAGTTCCGTCTGCACATTGGCTCCGAACGCAGCGATGAGTGTGATAACACATCGTTTCGAATTCTTCACACCTTTACCCTCGACCATCCCTGGCCGGAGACCCATCGCAGCCGAACCAAGCAAGCAACTTTCACTTTTCGCAGTAAGTTTGCTCATACCTCTCTGGCGATACTCTGCCGGATGTGTTGCTGTTCTGGTGCGGTAAAGAGACAAAGTCACCGTCGTCGTCGTCACCGCATCGCCGTAGGCTGCCCTCAATCTGGGCCTCCTGCGCCCTCCCCCGTCCCTTTTCCCATGAAACGTGTGTGGTTTGGAATCTTTTCTTTCGGTTCGGTTTCTATTCCACTTGTTTGCACGACGTCGTTCGTGTGCTTCTGCTTCACAACTTTCACTTTATGTGCGGCGGCGGCGGCGGCGGTGTCACATCGAACGCATCCAAAGTGCTGAAAATGTCATTGCTCTGCTCGTCGCAAAGAACCTACAAAATCCTCAAAATTTTCGTTTGCAACAGACGAAATGAGAGGATCCAGTCCTATTTTGACCGGCAAGGGTTTGACACGCGTGGACAGCGGAACAGGTCAAACCGGGCAAGGTCATCCAAGGGTGTTCTGCTCGAAGAGTTCATTGCTCCGCGGTATTGCCAGCTGGAGAGCTGCATGGCCAGCTTGGATATATGTATGTGCGATTGCAAAGCACGGTGTGCAGGGGAGCAGAGCAGTAGAAAAAGAAAAACTTTCACTCGTTCGCTCGTAGAAGCGAAACTTTCACATACCTACCACCGCTTGCCAATCAAACGACGACGACGATGGCGGTGGCGACGACCGCATCAGGTGACATTTGCTGCCTCGGGGCATCCTTTTGGGGTTGGTTGGAAGAATCAGGTCCGCGTTCCGAGCAGCACCCGAGCAACCGGATAACAAAAGATTTCAAGTCGAAAAAGGCTGAGCTGAGCTGTGGGCACAAGTGAAGGAAGGTTACGAAAGAGTCCATTTTTCAAGAAGGACGGCTTTGCAGCCAAGTCTGACAGCTCGCACAAGTAATAAGCACATCAAGCACGAGAGTGCGCGCTTATTGAGAAATTCATAAATAAATTAAGATTTTTTTTTTTTGTTTGCCCCAAACGCGATGGTTGGCGACGTTGATGGTTGCGACACACGCGCTCTCTAGCGGAGCGTTGTTATACCCGTGTGGATGTTTGTTGTTATGAGCGTCGTCCGTCCAAGTCTTCGTCGTCGTCGTCGTCGTCGTTGTCGACAATTTTGGCTACGAGCTGGAAGAACGAGTTTGGATTTTCCCCTTTGGGGTCGTTGGTTTCGCCTCTGGGGTTGATCTTTTCGGATGATTGTTGTGGGCATTGGGGTGGGCTTAAGGAAGGGGGTTCTCAACTTAGCGGTTGTGCATACTGAATATGTTTCTTAGATATAAAGAGCGAGAGATGTTTTTTGTGTGGTTAACCTAGTTTTTTTTTTCGTTTTCGTTTCTAGTACTTGTTGTCCTGGCGTGGTTTCCATGGGAACATGTGCAAGGGCTTCCACAGCTTACAGCGTGATGGGCAGATGGTCGATGTCACGATTGCTGCCGGTGGAAAGATCTTCAAGGCGCACAAATTGGTCCTGTCGGTGTGCAGCCCGTACTTCCAGAAAATTTTCCTCGAGCACCCGTCGCAGCATCCGATCCTGTTCATGACCGACGTCAATGCGCACCACATGGCCGGACTGCTGGACTTTATGTACAGTGGACAGGTGAGTAAATCGTATGCGGGAATGGAAGGAGCTGTATCGCAACAGTTTGCAAAATAAAGCTTGAGGAAATGGTTACCTTGGCAGCAGTAGTGCAGTGTAGAAGTTTTGATTTGAGTTTCTGACCGATGATATTTTCGATCAACATTATCCACTATGCTTTAGGGCAGGTTTTTCATTCAAGGAGCACATTTAGGCAAAGAAGTCAAGAAATTGTGGAGGTGCAGCACATGTTCCAAAAAAAAATCATTCAACAAAATAAAAAAATCAGAACCAATTTACCGTTTATGAAAGGTGTTAACTGTATTCTAGTTACTAATAGGCTCCCATGAAAACATGCTCATTAACAGAATTTCTGTTTCATGACAAATGATTCTTGTCTCATCATTAAAAAAAAATTATTGGCGATTTAGCGCCATTTCCGCCCTTTCAATGGCCGGGTTTAAAAGCCAATTTGAAAGATTTTTGAACATCAATTGTATGCTTTTATGATATAAACGATGTCAATTTTCGATGGCAGTTTTGCCGATTTTACACCGTCTTTAAATCTTTTTTTTTATGATTTGATAATGTATTGGCGGTTAGGATTGGGTTTCAAGGAGATTCTGGTAACTATTCAGGTCATTCAAGAGTCAGCAGAATTTTTAGACAGTTTTTGAAGCTCAATGCCAATTTAACGTCATAGGGCAATTTTGACAATTTTCCGGCATTTATTTTGCTATAAATGTTTATCTAAAAAGCATTTGATGTTTGGGCCCATACATAAATTCAGCAATCGACTAAATTTTCAATAGCGACCAAAAATATCCATTAGTACCGTCCCAATGACGCGTTCATCTAGATAAAATTGATAAATAGCAGATTTTTAGCGATGGGCAATCTTAGATCAATAGGCCAACATTAGAGCCATTACCCCTATCTCGGATTTTAGTCATCCGTTTTCTTATGTTAATTCCTTAACTTTTTAATAATTTGTTGGTCACGGTACCTGTTTTTATCATAGCTCTACAATATTTTGCATTAAGGTTCAATTTACTTTGATGCATTTTCGAAAAATTCAAAAGCAGTTTTCTTCGACGCATTATTTCAGATTGCTAAAAGCTCGCGTCATTTGGTGTAGAGTAGCAAAAGGAATCGAATAGTGCGAGCATTAACCATTAAGGGGGGTGGGGGTGGGCAAACAAATTTGTTTATGGAGAGTAAGGTTTGACGCTGATTAGCTGAACACCATTATACCGAACGCTATTATACCGTATGGATTACTAGGTCGATCATCGTATGAATTTTCATTCATACTTCGGCATATGTTATCAGTATTTTATGAATTTGTATAAAAATACAACATGTTTAAACATAATTTATCCAGGGTTCCAGAACCTTTCAAAACTCTACAAGTTTCAAGTTCTTTCTAGTCGTTTTAAAATGAAGTAAAGTTTGAGTCTTACAATTCTCTGATTTTCCAATCCTGGATTTTTGACGTAGACTACGTCTTACGGGAAGGTACTGGGGGTAAATCGCTAATCTAAAATTGCGACCGTCACGAAAAGGTGTAAGGTTTTGAACGCTTATAACTTTGTCATTTATAGATGAAATTAAAATCCAAATATACCAATCAATAGGAAATAACTCTCACAATCTGCTGCAATAAATGCTTTTCAAATTTTCCATAAAAATACTGTTGAAAGATGTACAGATAAAAAGTGATAATTTAATCACTGTTTCCATGAAATAAACATTCTCCCCAAACTCAGTCGTCATAATCTAGTACCATTTGGTTGCACACAGGCATGGAAAATCATTTGCATTCATTTCGTGCATTCATTTACATTCATTTGCCTCTAACTTTTTTCTTCAACATCATTCCGCAAAATGATGCATAGAGCTTTTGTAGGTTTTATTATTAGCTACAACTTTTGTCAACAAGTCAAATCCGTTTCTCTTATGCAGGACGGATCAGAGTCAACAGAAGCCACTACTGTTTTTCAGTGAATGTATTTAACATTCACTGAAAAACAGTAACAAGTTCTGCCCGCTCTAGTTCGTGATGCATTAAAGATACAGATTTGAGTTATGAACAAAAGTTGTAGTTAATAACAAAACCTTCAAAAGCTCTATACATTATTTTGCGGAATGCTGTTGATGAAAAAATTTAGAGGCAAATGAATGTAAATGAATGTATGGAATGAATGCAAATGATTTTCCATGCCTGGTTGCACATCGTTCTGCTTGAATCTGAAAAGTTTTAAAACAGTGCTGCTGTCATGCCTCATCTCATTTTCGCTTCGGACGGCGGGTGAGCAGATAGTAGCAGCAGCAGTAGCAAGGCAGCAGTTCCTGTCGAGATCACTGGCTGCAGGAAACGAGCCCCGTCGCCTCGATGGCACAAGCACTCCGAAGTGGATCAACCTCGCCTGAGGGATACCGATCCTGCGTTCTACAACTCTCGATTACTTTTTTTGAAAGGACGTATCCGCTTTTCTAAACAACGCATTTTATCATCGGTTTGGCGTAACAGATAGCTCGCCCACGCATACCAACACCACTATCAGGCAGGGGAAAATTTACATCTCTGACTAAAAACACACTGGTACACACTTTGAAATAACTAATTTTACACGAGATGTAATCCATATTGGATCATGGAACGTAAACAAACATTTCATGAAAAAATTTAGTGTTCTCGAACCGAAACATAAGCAAGTCGACAAAGAGAACGTTTGATTGAATTGATTTTCTCGTTTCTTTCAACTAATTCTTATGTCAAAAGGGCCACTTACATGTGTCAGTCTCAAGGAACCGAAATGTATATGACTTTTTCGTAGAGCGCAATTAGTAATAAATTTGTAATTTAATGAATCTCATAACAGTATTCCATTGTAAATTTCGGGTTGATGAAATGTAGCTTCGAACTACTCAAATAATTAGATTATTGCACGATTTAGTTATGTTTAAACATATTTTTATGGAAGAGGAAAAAATCGCTGCTTTTAAAAAAGAAGATTTCAATAAAACTAGTGTTTTTATGGTCACTGTAACGCTCTTGGGTCGTTTGTGACTTGTTTAGGGATGAGATATAAACTCGTGACTTTGGCGTGTTATTTGTATTTGTAGATGAAAAGAGTCTGTTTCTACACCTAAATCGATGAAGGTGTGCTAGCAATGACATAAGATTTTTTCTTAGGCATAACGAAAACCATAATAGGGTTTTTGATGTAATTTCCGTCTTACTAAGAACAACCCGTGCTTTACCTCTCTTTTCTTAACGAATTTTAACCGAAAATGGAATATTTCTGTCAAAGATGACTTCTAAATTTATCCACCTTTCCATACGTACCGTTGGATTTGATAAAGAGTCACAAACTGTTGAGATATTGTTCAAAATCTAATACTGCTTCTTGATTCTAAATTCGTTCTACGAGTTTCAATTCCGTCCTAACGCATTGAAACGCCATTAGATTTTCTTCGTCCTACGGATAAACGTAGAAAAAGAGAATTCGTTAGGAGCGCTTCTTTTGTTTTGAGAACAATGAGCGTAAATATTCATACAATGCGCTCTAACAGGGTTTATGTTGTGGCTAATGAACTAACGCATTGGAACAAACCTATTATTGATTTGTGCACGGTGAAATCATTTATATTATTGATCTTTTCTGATCGATAGAACGGAAATGGGCGATTACGACGAAGTAGCACTCTACCCTATGTCCGAAAATACGATTTTTTTAGATTTCGTGCGTTTTGTGAACGCACATACAGTATTTTGAATAATAGAACAGGGTATTTCTATGGTGGAAAAAAGAGATTTCCCTATCACAGATTGGAGATTTCTTTACCAAGCTTCGAAATTATAAGACGGTACCTCTAATTATACTTTTAGATAAGCTGTGTAAGTCCATCCTTCTTAGAAAATTATGCTATAGAAAGGTTGATAAATTTCTGGATTTTTTGCTGATGGAGGCGAGGCATAGCAACAGAAAATGCACCGAGAAATTGACAGTGAGCATGCACAAAGGCCCATGTGATGATCGATTCTCTTCATCGAATTTCTCTTTCAATTCCTACAGCTAAGAAAAGCAATTTTCTGAAATTTGTCCAAAGTGCTGTAACAGGTTGTACTTGGCTATCAAAAGCAACAGCATACGCACCGAGAAATGTTAATCCAAGCGAGTTATTAATAAAAAAGAGAATCGATCACCACGGTCACGCCCTTATGCATGCTCACTGTCGAATTTGTAATATGTGATAGATTTGGAAGTCACTATTTTCCAACCACAGAAACGCCCCGTGTTCTTATGCTAAATACTGCATGTGCGTGCACAAAACGCAAACGAAATCTTTAAAAAACAGCTATATGTAGCATTATTTTTTGTCCAATCGGTAGATTAAAGATGTACCGAGAACTTATTGGAGGGATTTATGGCTAATCGCGATGTTCCAGATCAATTTATTCAAATAATTGATAAAGATGATGGAAATCATGCTCAATAACATTAGGAAGAAAATCAGATCTAATAATTACCAAGAGTGCAAAAGCGATAAACTGGTTTTAAGAATTAAGATCCAAAGAATGGATTTTTTAAGGTTACGTCATGTTTTGATCGATATCTGAATCTTATATTCACCAGACAGTGACAGATTTTTTTTTTAAATCGGAGTCTGATTTAATTTTAAATTTTTCCTACTTCGGTAAATATTTTAGCATTTTGAGCATAAGTCTTTTAAAACCAAGGCTTATAAAATGATCATAACCTTGCAATAGTCCTTTTAATGTTGTACATAAAATCAGCTCTAAACGATTGGACTGGTGGTCCAGAAGCAGTTGGAAATCGTAGAAACATCTACGATGTGTTCCGGATGAGCAGATGGACCATTCGGGGATAACGAAGACGCATCGTTTAGCCTCGAAGGATTCGGGAGTACCTGCTCAACATTGTTCCATGAATCGTTCTCGATGGCCATTGCCTCCAACCCGCTACCGAAAGCTACAAGGACTCTTCCACCAG